GTTCGTGTGATACTAGAGATTATTAATGATTACGAAATTTGACTGGTACTGACTAAGTTAACGTAATGTAAAGTTGTAAGGATAAATCCCTTTATGTCATTCTGCATCCGAACGTGGGATCACGTAGAATTGATTCCTTGGACATAGTCAAGAATCATGCGGTCGAAACCTTAGCTTTCGCAATTCTGAAGTTGTATCATCGTCACAAACAGATATATGCACAGATGGGCGTGGATCTCTGGTACTAAGAGAGTCATGTAAAAGCGACTTGAATGCATTTGGATCATTAGTTACACTGTTTCTCTACGTTGCAGTGCTGGAAAGCTGAAGCTCAGGACAAGTAGTTAGGAATTGGCAGTGCTTTTGGCAAGTCCGTATCCTTAATGACATCGAGAATTCCACAGCGAAAATCTGTAGATTTATCATGAAATTAAAAAGTAATTCCCTGATGAGTACTTTAAGAAGAAAATAGGAGGTGCAGGTTGGGGATAAAATCCGAAGATCATTGCCAAAATACTACCTGGGAATGCGGGATTCTACGGAACTTCCAGAATTTGCCAGAAATAGCAACAGTTGCAAGATACAATATACCAAACATCATTGCGCTGTGCAACAAAAGTCACCTGACAAGATGGAACACCGAACAACCCCACCCCCCATTCCTCTACACACATACGCAAACCGCTTTTCCTGCTGTTACGATCGTATCAATAAACAACTACGGTAGCGGGAGGCTGCGCCAGGCACACCAGTTTACCCCTCTCTGTGTGTTTTGAGCTTTCTAAAACTTTTTGGGTTGTCCAGTTCTGCAAATTTTTCACTTACTCGAAAAAAAAAACAACATGAAAAGGCTCACCTTGGTGCTTTTACTTCAGCCTCACAGTTCAAGGATTTTTTTCTCAGTTTCAGGTCAGACTGGTTTCAAACTTCTCTGAAATCCGTTCACTCATTAGTTCTAAACGAGTACGGACAAAAAGCATGGATCAGCCGTAAACCATATTCTGCAACTTTGCAGCTGGCAAATTTTCCAGTTGCTTTACCTAATGCTACACTGTCTCGTGATTAGCCCACTGGCGTTCAAAAAATACGGTCGCTCCGACCTGGGTGAATCCCTTAATCGATGAGGTACCTCAACGTGTCCCAAAAATGGCACATTTAAAGCGAGATGATGATGATGTTCAGCAGACTGGAAAGCCGTTAAATTGGTAATCCCTTCAAGCAATGAAACGAATGTCAGGGTCGCCGTCAGGCTGACCAGCCACGAAGCAGTACTGGGAGAAACAACGCAAGAATTTGCCCGATTCATTGTTGGAGAAGGACGCTATAAGTTGCAGTTAAATAACAAAACAAGTTAATTTAATCATGTATTAAAATTATTCATTATGATGTAGCGCATTTTTTACAGCAGCGAGAGCTTCCACTTTATTACTCTCGAAAAGCACTCCTGTAATTTTCATCGAGTGGCCGCAGTAACATCGAGAGCTCTATTCTTTGAAGGACAATTTAACTGCCCCTTGAATCCAGGAATTACCACTAAACTGACCACATATGAGACAGTTTTGTCTACAGTACCAATCTACCAGTCGCATCGATGACGCAAGATGCATTAGCTGTTCGTTCAGCTGCTCTTCACATTCCGATTCTCCAGATATGCGGCTAACAGCTTTACCAGTTGCTTTGACCAATACTGCTTGGCCTGACGGTCAACCTGACGGCGATTTTGGCACTCGTTTTCATCCCCTGAAAGGGTAAAAGGCTCCACAATTCTTCCGATAAAGCACTGCCAAAGCAAGCTATGAGGAAAAAAAATCAGTTGAAGAGAACTTCCTTAACACAACAAGAAACGGATTGACAAAAAACTGAGGAATATTTTAGGGCAGACTTTCCGCCTTAGTACCAAATCAGATCCAGCTAGCGCTACAGTGCCTTAATTCAAATAAACTTGAACAGTACAAATCATTGCCAACTAGTTAAGAGCAAAATAATTATCCAGCATCTTTGAGAAATAGATGGGGGCTGAAAAAAAGCACGTCCCCGCATCTTTCTCTTAATCCGTTTCGTCTTGGAAATGCTTCACAGAGTTTTCTGCTAGTACCACATTACTAGGCTGGCATGGCGCATCTAGAAGTAATAAAGATGATGTTGTAGTAATGAAAATCGAGGATTTAAATCTAACAGTGTAGCAGCCAAGCTCTCTACGATTCGATCATTTGTTTCGATGGTAAATTGGAATAGGCATACATAGTGATGGATAAAAATTGCAATCAGCTTGCTCCAAGCAATTTTTAATATAAAAGCTGTCGACTGCTTCACCAGAAGGTTTTGCTGGCAGATAGTACCACTCGAACTACTTCAGCGTC